GCAGCAGGACGACTAAAATATCGTTGGCATTGTCATTGTCCCGCTGCAGCTCCACTGAAAATAGAGGCGGCGTGATAGCTGATCTGAGGGCAGATGTTAGGGAGCGTGGTCGAGATGGAAGGGCTAGCTGCTGACTCTGAACCCGACTGAACTTCCTGTCGTTGGAAATGTACATTCAATACTCTTATATCCTCTAAATCATATGTGTCAAACCTAAGGCCCGGGGGCCAAACGCGGGAGTTTAAGACGCCTTTAGTGAAGTCCATGCAGTAAAACTGAGTTTTTATAAAATTAATCAAATAATAATCAACTACAGAAACTTGTATCAGTCTGTTTGAGTTCAGTCAAATATTAATCAACTACAGAAACTTGTATCAGTCTGTTATGAACTAGTTACATCTATACCAGCGGTCCCTGGTCACCCAGTACCAGCTGTTACTACAGATCGGTACCAAGGTACTGAGCATTGAAGGATCATAACATTTTCAAACTCAAACCTCTTTCAGACTCTGTTCTGTCTGAATGACATTTTATTTTAAAATCAGATTATTTTAAAATAAAGAAACGTAAATGGACATAAAAATGAAGTACATTTAAGTCCCGGTACCAAATGACCTATGGACCGGTACTGGTCCGCGGACCAGGGGTTGAGAACCCCCTGATCTATACAGTCTTCCATTGATCTAATGTATCTTTATAACATTTTTGTAACTGATTTTTTATTTTATTTAGAACAATAGACTGTTGATGATGATTAATTATTTTTAATTAAACTTAGAAATAATTAACATTTTACCAACAGTCCTACTTGAAGCAGTGAAAGAGTTTATTTTAATTACATCTGGTTTAATTGCAAGTAAATTAACATCTATTAAAAAAATAAAATACATTTCACCCTTAGGTGATTTTATTATTATTAATAATATTATTATTTATTATTTCTGGGTGCTCCTTCCTCCGTCTCTGTGAGCCACGGGTGGGAATGCTGGGAAAATGTGACTCCACTCGGATGCAGCGGATTCCTAATTGCTCTTGATTTATTCCCGCGCAAGTAAACAACTTAAAAACCGCCGCAAGAAAGCGGACATAAAACACTTCATCCTGTTATTAAGATGAAACGTCGATTGATTTGATGGCGTTTTTTAAAATGCGCTTCAACGAAATTCCACAACGACTTGTTTGTTCAACATCCCTGTGATTGTGGACGTTTCCTGTTCGGATCAGTGACGGCCCTGCAGTGGAAAGGTTTATCAAAATAAATTTAAAAAAAATATATATATATATATATAAACTTGTTATGGTTAAAATATTATACAGATGATTTTAAATCAAAAATATTAGTTGAAATATTTTTGATCAAATTCAACCTGAGTCGCAATTCATTTAAAAACAAAACAAATAAGTAAAAAGGATGTGATAATAATTTTAGTAACGAATTAGAGGCGTTTTTTTTCTTCAACGATGGACGTGAAATGATCGATTAAAACGTTAGGAGTAAAACACAGAAAAGAGTGAATAAATAATTCATGGTCAGAAGTGGAAATGTTAAGTCCACAGACCTCCTTTGTTTTGTTTTGTTTTTTTTTATTTTTGTTTTTAAACCATTTCTTTTTCTTTCTTTTCTTTTTTTAAATACGACCTCCGGCGGCTCGAACAGAGAAAACTGTGCGACAGAAAAAACGTCTCTGTCTCCGCGGAGACAACTCTCCGGAGTGACTGTCCCCGCGGTGTGAACAGAAACTCTGCTGCTGTGAAACGACCCACACACATTAAAAAGACAAATGCGCCAACTAGTGTCAGAAAGGCGCAGGGCGGTGCACAGCTTCAGAGCAGGGTGTGACGTCATTTGACGTTTTCTTCCTCCTCCATCATCATCATCATCATCATCATCATCATCATCATCTCAGGCTCCTGATGAATTCTGCCTCTGGCGCAGCGGCTCGTTAATAAGCCGCACCGCCGTTTGATGTGTGCTTTAATTGAGCTGTTTAATCACATCGATCCAATTAAAATGATACAAATCTGTCTCAGAAAGACATTATTGAACTTGATGGAAAATTCATTTAGCTGCAGAGGAGGAGGAGGAGGAGGAAGAGGCCTCCAGGTGTGATCGCGTTAAAGAAATAAAATAAAAGAGGATTTAATTACAACCACAGGCCTGAGAAGGTGGAGGAGGAAACAAACAAACAAACAAAAACAGAGTTTAAAGATTGGACTTTGCAAAGACGACTTTAAAGAGTTCGACTTTAAAGTCGGCAGCAAACGCGTGAATTTTACATTTTAAAATAAAATAAAATAAAATAAAAATATATATATATATGTTCCTCTTCCTCAGTGATGATCGACTTTAAACCTGATCATAATCAATAACCAAAAAAATCCTTCAAACTTCGAATTCTTCCTCAGACCAGAACACGTCACTTATTTCTCATCATATTTTTTTATATATCATCATTTTAAAGCTCAGATTTGTAGATCAGTAATTCGGCTTCTGTCTGTGTGTGTGTGTGAGAGAGAGAGAGAGAGAGAGAGAGAGAGAGAGAGTGTAGAGCAGCTCGGGCTCTGATTGGTCAGCTCAAAGCCCAGCCCCGCGCGCTCATTGGTCCACAGTATCTCCACACTGGCAGCCACCAAACACTAAAACGACTGGGGTGAAAGAGTCCCGCGGCACTCGGCTCTGCGTCCAGCCTCACACAGGATACACACGTCCAGGAGAACCGAACCGAACCGAACCGAACTGCCTTCTTTTTCGATTTTAAAATCCCGAATTACTGCTGGGGGTTTTTTGTGTGTGTGTGTGTTCTTTTTTTATATATTTATTCTTTGTTTTTTTTTCATGGGGAAATCGACCAGGACAAAGTTGTACGAACTTCTCTAACCCGGAGCCCGACGCCGCGCTTCGTTCTTCGGCTTGATTTTAAACCTTTTTGGGACGTTTTAGTTTTAGTGACGTCTTTGTTTTGTTTCCTTCGCCGTCGTTTTTATTTTTAAGAGCATTTTATTTATTTACACATTTTTGAACCTAAAGGTCAGCGTTGGCGCCTCTCCTCTGGATTATCTCTGACCAGTGAGGAGGAGGAGGTCACTGCCCTGACTGCAGAAATAAAGACGACGATTCGAACACAGACCGAACTGAACCGAACCGAACCTTGTAGTCGAGCTTTAGTTCGAGTGTTTTAGGTTGGGGTTTTTTTTTTTACACTCACGCAGACTCTGATGTTCCTGAACTTGTAGCGCGCGGTGCGCTCTCGCCTCCATCCTTTAACGCGCACGCACTGGACTTGACTCCTGACACCGTCGGCGTCTGGAGAAGAAGGAGGAAGAGGAGGAGGAGGAGGAGGAGGAGAAGGAGGACAGGAGTAGAAAAAAAAAGAAAAAAAAAAGAAACACGACTATTTTCTATCCAAAAATAACAAACAAAAAAAAAAAACCAAAAACCCAAAAGAGTCCTGCCGGCACCTCACTCCTCTGACACCCCAGTCAGGTGGCACTGACCCAAGCTGTTGTGATGCATATTCCCGTAGAGCCGCCCACGACCAGACGGTTCACGCCGCCCTCCACGTCCTTCCCCTGCAGTAAACTCGCAGACGGCAACGGGGCCATGGCCACACCGGGGCCCCTGAGGACAAGACCGGACACCAGGAACGTGGTGGACGTCCTGGCGGACCACGCCGGCGAGCTGGTCCGCACCGACAGCCCGAACTTCCTGTGCTCCGTGCTGCCGTCCCATTGGAGGTGCAACAAGACGCTGCCCGTGGCTTTCAAGGTGAGACGCGGCTCCCGTTTCATTCTCCATACGTTTGTATTACACTGGAGGTCGCGCAGGGGCCGTGAACGCACCACGTGATTAATTACAGACACTAACGTGACGCCGTGCAGGTCATTTTATTATTATTATATTAATTATTTAATTTGAGACGTTTTTTTTTTGTTTTTGTTTTCAGTAAATTCGATAATTCACGATAAATACACGATGTAAATATTGTCTAAAACACAGTTTAAAATGAGCAGCAGTGACTGTCAACAGACAGATTTTTTTTCTGTCTGTTGTTTTACGTCGGTGATTTGTTTTGGAAAACAAAAAGAAAATAAACACAAAAAAAAAACAACTACGTTATAGGTGAAAATCCTGGTGCGTTCAGGGGAAATCTGCCAAAATGTACGATTGTTGACACTGTGGTGAAACGATATTAGTGATAAATAATCACTGGAGCCGGATGTGGGTTTTTTAACACACTATTACAACTGATGATGATGATGATGATGATGATGATGTGTTTTGGGTTTGGTGACCCGGTGTGACCCTCTCTCCTCTCCCCGGTTCCCAGGTCGTGGCTCTCGGTGATGTCCCCGACGGGACTCTGGTCACCGTGATGGCCGGAAACGACGAGAACTACTCGGCCGAGCTGAGGAACGCCTCGGCTGTGATGAAGAACCAGGTGGCCCGCTTCAACGACCTGCGCTTCGTGGGCAGGAGCGGTCGAGGTGAGGGCAAACACTGNNGTGGGGGGTGAGGAGTGGGAGGAGGACGGGAGTCAACTGTTGGCCGCGGCAATCTTTGGAGACGCGGCTAAAAACAATAGGAGGATTATATCGCCGCATAATAACCGGGCGAAGCCTGACACCGTGTATCGTTTATCGTTGTTATTATTATTATTATTATTATTATTATTGGTAAAAGTTCAAAGTGTTGCACGTGCGACGCCTGTTTTTCCTGCTGCGCGGAGCGGAAAGAAATGAAAAAAAAAAAAAAAAAGATTGTGTCACACAGAGAGTCTCACCTCTGTTGTTCATTACCGGGACAATCAGCACCAATGTGGGACCGTTTAGGGCAGGACACGGCGGGTGCCCGCGCTTTGCCAACTGACGTCCGCGGGTGTCATCCGAAACATCTGGCCTGCGTCACGGCGCCCGGTGTCAGCGTGGCTGCAGCCCGAGCTCTCCTGGATCTGACCAATGAGAAGGCGTCGTTAATACGGTGTCAGAAAAGAGTTGGTCACGTCATCATCTTTTTCTTCTTCTTCTAATTATTCTCACTGAGGACGGTGATCAATTAAATAATAATGACGACAACAACAACAACAACAACAACAACAACAACAACAGTAGGGCCGAGGCCTGAAGGACCATTACTGAGAACAATATAAAATTAAAATTAAAATTCAGGCCTGTATTTATAAACCAAAATAATATTCTATACTATTTAAAAAAATACTTTTATTAAAATGAAGTATTTTTATCTCTAGAAAATTCCTGGCCTCCCATTGGTCCGTTTATTGTCGATTCCGGTGGCTGAAAAATAAGGATTTTTTTGTTGTTGTTGTCCGATTAAATAAATAATTATAGTTTATTTCTATCGTCGATTATCGCATCAATTCTTCTATTTTATTTTATTTTATTTTATTTTTTCCCAGGCACTCTCTCTCTCTCTCTCTCTATTTTAACCAGAGATGCCTTCCTCAGTGCCGGGTTGTACGAGCATCGGCCCCGCAGCACGACGCGACCCTCCAGCCTCCCCTCTCTCCTCACCCCCCCTCCTCCTCCCCCCTTCTCCCCTCCCTCTGCATAGACTTTGATGGGAGCAAGATCCTGTCTTGTTGAACAATAAACTCTCGCTGTAAGCTTCCCCTTTTTTTCGCGCAATCTGGAACGCATTCTCTCCAATAATCTGAATCATATCCGCAGCCGGGCCATCAAAGGAGGTGGTCCCCGGCCTCTCTTAAAATAAAAAAAAATAAAAAAAGCCGGTGACAAACAATCGATGTATTGTTAGAAAGAAGAGGGAAAAAAAAAAACAAAAAAAACACACACACACAGGGGCTGTTTGACAGACACCGTGGAACAGGGAGACCGTGGGCAGAGACTCTGACCGACTGTGTTTGCTCCGCTGCAGGAAAGAGCTTCACTCTGACCATCACCGTCTTCACCGGACCTCCGCAGGTGGCCACGTACCACCGGGCCATCAAAGTCACCGTGGACGGACCGCGGGAACCACGCAGTGAGTTCACGCACGCGCACGCAAACACACGCACACATGCTGTTTATTTATTTGATTTGATTTGATTTGTTGTTGTTGTGGTTGAAATGCACTGCAGAAAAACTGAGAGTTTGTTTTTAAAAAAACACGGAGGTTTCACTGAGGTGATATTGATGTGGAAAAAGACAAATTCATGAGACACGAGCCTCGAAACAAGAATCATTTTCCTCAGAGAATTTTTTTAAGCAAATTATTCTGCAAAAAAAAATTGAAATTTTTTTTTATTTGGGGGTGGTTTGACTGTGGTGTTTTACAGCAGGTTAACTCTTCATCAATTTTTTTTACCCTGATTTTCTTCTTAACTCTGTAAAGATGTTCTCAGCGATCGAACTCACAACCTTCTTCAGGCCGACCGCCATCATCTGTTGCGGCCTTTTAGGTTTTCAACAGGTGTAAAGTCGGCTGTTGTGCAGTCAATAATGACGTCAATAATGACGTCGTAGTCGTAGCCACGCCCCCCACAGCTGGACGGTTGTCAAATCACTGTTGTTTCTACTGTTTTTGTGCGACTTCCTGTTTCGCTGTAGGGACAGTGTGGGTTTTCAGGTCCTCAACCTCAGGTCCATGGACCCGTACCGGTCCATGAGTTGTTTTGTACGCGGCCGCAGTGAAAAGAAATCATAATTTACTTCATTTAAAGAGAATTTGGTTTGGATCAGCTGACAGTTTTTCAAAATAAAGCGCAAACAGAACAACGAACTGAAAATGTGAAACAGTCCTGGTCAGTAACGCAGCACCGGTCGATCAGTCCTAAATACAAAAACAAAAATAGGGGTCGTGGACCTTCGCTCCAGTTCCTCCAGACACAGCTGTTTGTGTTAAGTGTAATTCCCAGTTCTGCCACTGTGGTGTCTGTGGTGTTTTCATCCTAAATCCTGACGTTTCCTTCTCTCTGCCTCGGCCTCTGAGCCACAGGACGTGTTTTTTTTCCTCCTCCTCCTTCAGTCGACTCTGAACTCCTTTTGTTTTGCAGCCACAGCTTTAATTATGTTTCTATATGAAGAGCAAAATCTGACACGTGAATCTCAGCGTCAACGTCGTTTTGATCTGAACAAAAACAAAAGTGTTTTTTTTTTTTATGGTTGAGAAACAAAAACATGTCATTTCTGAAGCAGGAAAATGATCTGCTCTTTGAAATAGTGGTTTAGTTGTTTCTCTTTATGGACTATATATACATATATACACACATATATATATATAAAATATATATATATATACATATATATACACATATATATATAATATATATATATATATATATGTTTTGTTATTATTATCGTTTATTTTCCACGAGTTGCTAAGAATCTGGTCTTCTGTCGTGACACAGATTTATTCTGGAGCTGAAGCTCAGTTTTGGGTTTGAGGTTAGAGTTATTGGTCGGTGACGACTGGGTCAGGGTCAGGGTCAGAGTCAGGGTCAGGGTCAGGGTCAGGGCCGCGCTCCTGGGTTTGAGGGTCACCAGTGCGTGTGTCACGTACGGCCACAGGGCTGGACTTGTTCACGGGACGGTCTTATGTTGACACACACTCTCAGACTGAACCCTGAGACCACAGAGAGGAGGTGGTGACGCTGGAGGAGCTCTTCCTCCTCCTCCTCCTCCTCCTCCTCTTCACCCACTCCTGGTCAGAGGGGTCATATCTGTCCGACCACATAAGTGGCTCATTGATTTAAGACAGGGCCGACCTCCAACAGTGACCAGAGGTCGGCCTTCCAGCTCTCCAGCTGAAGCTGTTAGCGCCACCTTCAGACCACAGCTGTAGTCTCCTGTGGTGGGGGAGATGCTGAGGTCGGCAGACCAGCGTTTGTTAGTTTTTCTTGGAGAGGAACGGTGTTTATCACGGTCTACGATGCCGGGGGCCGGGGGTCAGGGGTCAGGGGTCAGATATTTGGGAGGATTTAATCCAGGGAAAAACAGACGGCAGCAGCAGCAGCAGCAGCAGCAGCAGCAGCAGCAGCAGCAGCAGCAGCAGCAGCAGCAGCAGCAGCAGCAGCAGCAGCAGC